TAAGACCTATGGAAGGAGGACGGCGTAACAATATTACAAAATCTGATCAACATTCCCAGCAGATGGATGAAGGACTGTGAGAAGGCCAGCGTGGGGTTCGGAGGGTTCTCATGAAAGCCGCTAAAAAAGGGCACACTGTACCACATTTAATTAAGCAAGTAAAAAAATGTGACGGTGAAGGCGTGATAGGAGGATATAGGAAATGTGAATCGGCCAGGGCAGAAGGAAAGATACCATAACTGTTTAGCGAACATTTGGTCAAAGGAATGGATTCACTTGTCTCTTTGACGAGTCTTTATATGGTGCTACGAATGGTAAAACTCACTGACGATGCCGACTACGATGTCGGCGAAACGTCTAGGAATGTACCTCATCCACGGTCCGACCTTGGAAGTGATAATGGATACAATGGACTCCGGACAAGGCGAGTTCCTCTAAGTCTTCCTACCAAATGACCCAGTTGCGAAAACAAGGTCAAACAACTTCTAAGTGGAATTCATTTGAAACGTGAGGTCTATTCATGTGGGAAAATTTAACCCTCATTATCACAGACAGAACCTTTTATTCTAAATTTTAGCTATAGTATTAGTTAATTTTGTATATAAAAGCTTTTTTAAATAATTAAAGGACAACTATTCGGGGGCGCCCTTTCGTAAAACATGGCATATAGGAATACTTTTTATAAACTTATTTAAACGCATTCTTCTTGGTTGTCTAACGGTTTATGCGGGGAAATAATTGCTTAGTTCCAGGGATTTTTTCACTAATGAAGGAAGAAGCAACCCTTGTAATAGCTCAGTCGATGATCATGTAGTATATACTAATAATTTAGATAATTTGCTTTTATAAATAATTAGATAATTATATCTCATTATATATACTACCAATATTTTTTGCTAGCTGCTTAGCTTACCAATTATTTACAAAGTACCCACCTGGCTTTCAGATTGGCATTGAGTCGAACTCGTTCGGTCCTCAGGCTCTGGAAGCTCAGAAATTATGTCACCTGTTTCTACTCCAACATTTAGTTCCCCTCTTCTTCGACAACTTACTGTGTCATCCAATCGTAATTGAAAGTTTTCTACTCGATGATTTCCAGCGGTTACTCTTCCGTTTGCCGAAATAGGAGGAAGTTGGGGAGAAGAAGAGGGCGATAAAGCATATGAGTGGTTGGGTCGCTCATAGTTACCCAGAGAAGATGTCCTTCTTGCAGGAGATGAGGTGGAATTCAAATTGGCATGGGTTCTTGAGTTGACGGCAAAGGAAGAGGAGGATGCTAATGAATGTTCAACCGATGGCTCATGAGGCAGGCATACGTTTTCATTGTTTTGGGGCCCTGATATTTGGCAGTTGTTCACTCGGTTACTAGGAGAACCCGTTGAAGTTGGGGCATAGTCGTTCGCCATTCTTGTACGTGATGCAAGGAGACGATGGGGACGCATACGGGATGAAACAGTGTTAACATGGCTTTGTAAGTCTCGAGATAGACAAATCTGGGAAGAATTTTCTTGTGGAGCTCCTTGTGAATCCTGATTTATGTAGGAATTTTATTTGCAAAAACAGTTACAACATAATGGAATTTTGAGGTGAATGACTATGAGGAGTTTGATGTTCGCTGAGAGCTACCATTCAGCTTTAGTGCTAAATGGGCCGAATAATTATTGCATTGCTTTAACTTCTTTTTCGCAACTTCGTCGGAGCGTCAACGAGACCTTATGAAAAGTATCTGGTCCTGCGTCTTCCCCCACAGTATTCGTGATAGTATTCAAAGTATTCCCCGGAAATGAGTGACTAGAGCCATCGTCAACACAGTTACAATTTATCAGTGACAAGTGAAGGGAATCCTCTTGCATAATTCTCAGTCCAATCGTTATTTCACCGCTCCTCGTTCCTAACATTTATCCTAACTTGTAGTGCTGCATCTCTTTCTCTCAACCCACACTATATCGCCCATTTACCCATTCACACCATTCGGTGCTTTCGTTTCCTCCAATGTCGCCTAAGAGTATGTAGCTTCAGATAGATTTAATGAAGCGTAATCATCTTTACCACCGGTTTCAGATACCTATTGCATGGCTTCTAGTTAATGGCTTCAATTTTCATTTAACGCCTCCGTTCCACCCCTATTGTCATTTAGTCCCTACAACACATGAAAATCACTGTCTGGTTGTCTGAAATCCGGCGGCCTACGAGCCTTCAATTTTCGTCCCCATTTACATAATATTCGAAGATTAAAAGCAGGTGATTCCCATACCTAGGCATCTTCCGCTCGATAGACTTCTAACCCATCACAGAGTTATAATATTTCTCATTCTATAGGGCCATGTATATGGTTTAATTGAAAAACTGTTAAGTGAAAATATACCGCCTCGTTTTGCAACTCTTGAATCGCGAAATCACACTCCTTTTTCTCTCAAGTTGACAGTCTCATCTAATATGAGATGAATTCACACTATTTCGTCTAAGGTAATGAAGAACTGGTGGGATAATCTTTCCACAATGATGTGTAGAGCTGACATTTCCATTGAATTTCACATAGCCTTGCTTTCCCTAAAGTTCTTCTCATCCAGGGTGGACTGTAGTTTCGACCTCGCGGGAGTAGAAATGGGACGGTACAGAATGTGAACTTGACACGTTAACCACTCGGCCACATTGCCACGAGTGCCCTTGGGTCACAGGGCTGATGTGAATTTTAAAGAAGGCTAGGCCTTTTTCCATATCACATTCTTTGGTGGGATTTTCGATGAAGCAAACGTATTTTTGCTATAACAATCGACTATCAAACTTATTTATCGTGAGTAAGTAGAGTTTCGAGAAACAGGGTGAATACATCTTATATTACTGATTTTCTGGTAGTCACGAAACTCTAATTGCATACGAAAAATGAGCAACCTAGTCGATTGTTATAGCAAAAATACTTTTGCTTAATCGACAATCCCATCAAAGAATGCAATGTGGGAAAAGACCTGGCCTTTCTTAAAATTCACATCTGCCCTGTGACCCAAGGGCACTCGTGGAAATGTGTCCGAGTGGTTAACATGTCAAGCTTACATTCTGCACTGTCCCGATTCGACCCCCGCTGGGGGTGTTGACAAGACCTATGAGAGGTCGAAATGGCAGTCCACCTTGGATGATGTCAGCTCTACACATATCATTGAGACAAAATTCTACTACCAGTCCTTCATCACCTTAAACGAAATAGGAGTATTATTGATTTACTTGTAGTCTCATAACTCTACTTAAATACAAAAAATCTTCATCTTTATTTTGCTTCGGCCAAACAAAGCTTGGCACCGCATTGTCTAATCAGAAGTTGACATGGAAAACTACGCAAGAATATATCAAGCAACTAACATACTCGAAGATATGAAGACCATGATGGTGTGGCCCCCGGAATGGTCGCAGTCTCAACTTGGTCCTGTTGTCAGGGCGACTTAGTTGAACACACCTTCTCCGAAGTCCTCTGCTATTTTTGTTATCATAGCATTAGACCGTGGACTTGGTACATTTTCAGACGATGCCGATGAAATGTTTGACAATGCACCAAGC